AGTTTTTTAACCCTGGTTAGATGTTTTAGCGTGGTATATATAGGTTACGTGATTTGATCAGCTGTGGAATAGGCATATTGGTTGAGATATTTAACAATTTTAAGGCGTAGTACTAGTGTTGCTTCTTTTTAATACACACGAAGAAATAAACAGCGATAAGTTTTTATTTCGTGACCGGTTTTGGTCGTAGTTTTGTTTTGATCGTCTGTACCTACTACTACTGTACTAATAATGAAATTATTCCTGTTATTGTTTCAACCCTTCTATAGTTTAAATCTAGTTTACACTAGATATTTTAATTTACAGACTAATATGTTTGTTTTTTGATAAAAATTGAAACATTTTGAAATTATAGTGTGTTATCATTTGGCATGAAATACTATCAATGCATTCTTTAAATTTATTAACCTAATAAAAATACCATTGAATTATTCGGAACAAATCTTGACGCTTTTCGGGGAAATGACGATATTTGACCTCTAATACATCATTTCCTTTGTGTGAAGTCTTGTATAAACTAGGTATACCCATACCATCTAGCTTATGTTAAATAGTAGGTCTAGGTAACGATGATATAATACCATCGACTGACTGTAAACAATAACATTTTATTTGTGTCCACATATTAATCAGAGTTATTTATAAGATTAAGTGACTAATGTTTGATTAAAAGGAGTTGTAGGAACATAATCGATATCGTATTATTCGACACTCTTCATCAATTATTCCGAAAATTTTTAGTAGGAGTCGAGTATAAATGATAGGAAAACGTTTTCAAAAATACCACATTTCTGTGAAACATTGTTATCGTTCAGACTAGCTCAAATTCGTTGTGGGTTATCAAAAATTAACTAATTTTCAGAAGGTCCCTCACAAGCAAAAAAATCCACAAAAATGTAAATTAAGTTACAGTTAACAGACTAAAAACCATCTATTGGAAGAAAACCTCTATATTTATCCAAATAAAAGTAATAAAATAGTGAAATTTGATTACTCTCTTGGTGTGGTCGCCCTGTATAAACAGCAATAATTTTCTAGTAAAATCAACCTACCTTAAAAACGAATGACATTCTCTGTATATAATTTACTTGACGCATGTATTGTTTCATTTCAAAAAGAGAAAATTTATAACTTTTTTGAACACTCGGCACATTAATAATTTTCTAGTAAAATTCGCCTACCTTAGGATTTTGATTGAAACAAATCTATGGTATTTATTTATATGTATACACCATTTTTCAACAAAGCCTATTAATAATTGTGAGGACTTTATAATATCAAAAAACATAATAAATTTACTTACAAAGAAAAAAGGAAATATCATTGGAAAATAGTATCTTATAGTCTTGTTATACTTTGAATCGGTTTTTACTGCATTTAAAAAGTTGGAATTTGATCACTTTTATGGTCGCTCTGTATTTGATATTAATTAACAAAGGACTGAGATTTTAGCATATTATTAGTCTCAATCAGCATTGATTAAAACACATTTTGTTTCAACTGTTAATTCAATAATAACAGGTTAAAAAAGCCAAGTATGTACTATCAAATAAGTTTTTTGTAAGGTATTTCCATATTTTGTTCTATTTTTAAATAACTTTTAGCATATACGGAAATACTTAAAAACAACCAAATATTGATTTAAATCTTTACTTAAAATACAAGTATTTTATGGATTATTAACGAGGATAATGAATAAAAAACCCAGTTAACTATAACTGTTTTTTAAAAAGAATACAATTTTTTTAACACCATGTATATTTCAGTAAATCTGCCATGGTATTATGTGTAATAAAATAATTAGCGCTTTACTGGTGTTTTTCCATATCATTTATTGACGCATGGTTTTTATCTGTTTGCAAAGGTTTTCTTGAATAAATAAATATAAAAATAAAAGGATTGTTATATTGTTATGGATTATAGAGTTCATGAATGTCTAAGAATCTAAGAATTAAAAAAACTGCAAATGGAATTACGTTAGAAATGTTTTGATTTATTCTAATTTGACTTCTATTCTGTTTTAATTCGTGAAATAATTTAGTGTTTTTTTTTATATTTTCATTTCACAAAATTTGTGTTTCCGATTTGAATAGGACGAGTGACATTCATGTCGAATATGAAAAGTCAAGCAAAGCTGTTCGTATTAGTACTTGAATGGGTGACCATCCAGGAAAAGCTCACGATGCTCGTCTACCTCTTAGTGAAATCGTTTGGTATAGTAACAGAAGTAGGACCACTAAAATAACCAAAAAAAAAAGGATTTGAGTGTTGAAAAAAAAATGTATTGAACCTTGAATATTTATTCTTTGGAATAGCGTCTAGTTTTTTAAATTCTGAGTGCATTTAATAGCAAGTTTGATATTAAATATGTAATACATATATTTGCAGTTAAATATTAATTAAATTTTGATTTTTATTAAAGCAGTGTGGTCAAATTAACAAATAGACTGAAAGAGTCGATAAAGTTAATTGTTTGGTGGATTGGTGGAAATTGGTGACGAAATACTACAGGCAACGCAGATACATCAGAGTTGTTTTGACTTTTGAGTTGAAGGTTATCTAATGTTTATAGTCCATTTTTTTAGATTCAGTATAAATACCTATGTAAGTATGTAATCATCTTATAATAATTTTTTTCACCTACTATTTGACAATCGATCGTTTTGTGCCGCAATTGATCATAGCAACAGATTTTATTTTTATGACGTGTACATTGGCAAACTGTTACAAGAAATAATATTTATAGGCGTCGTACTACTGTACAATATCGTATATAGCAGAAGAAAATAGAAAGTAAGAAACGCAAATCCGTCAGAATAGTTGTAATTGTAAACATAATAATAAATAAGTGCGAGTTGTAGACTGAAAATAATGCCTCTTAAATAGGTATGTCATTAACTTCCGTTCTTGTGCAAGAAAATAGTACGCCCATGAATTTGCAGTAACTCCACGAATGTCTCCCTTTCCGCACTCTTCGTTCGTTGATGGTATACTACTGTCCTACAAAGAAAAAGGTATTAAAAAAGTAACAAAATTGGAACCGAATTGGTACATGCATTACATACTTAATTAACGAAATAATAAAAAATACTATGTTGATTTTTTCAGAAAAAATATTATAAAGATATACAAGATGTTGATCGGAACACTTATCAAATTTTAGTGAGTTGTATTAAGTAGTGTTTTAATGGTTAATGGATGTACCATTAGTGGCGGTGGTCATAGCGATAGTGCCACTACGTGACCTACTACATTTTTTGTAGGCATAATTTTCCATTAAATAATATTAGGATTTTTTATCGAAAAATCTAGCAAGGGAACTTAATTCACCACCACTTAAAACCTCGCCTCAAGTTTTATTTACTTGTACTCCTTCGTATTTTTATATGAAAGCGTAGACTATTCGTTTATTTACAATATTGTATACATTTATATGAAAGAAAATTGCGGTTATTAAGGAGAAGGAGGAGTATTTTCACTAGTCATAGCACTTAATAAGTTGAGGAAAAGCGAAACAAATAGAGGGGTAAGGGAGGAAAGTTGATAGACGCGAATTCGTATATATTAGTGAATATAATATTATAAATAAATAATCTTCAGTAGTAAAACTACATGATTGTTATTTTTAAAATTATTTTGAAACAGAAAAACTACGTACTTGAGCGAGAATGGATGTGAATATATTATGAATTTTGGATATTTTTGGTGATTATATTGATAGAATAATAATTGTCGATAATGTATAATATCAATTTGTTCCATTGAGTGAAAAAAATTGGGTCCAAAATGAAAAAAACAAAAATTTAATTTTTACTTCAACTTCGATGCTGAATAACTTTTGATGGAGTAAATTTATGCAAAAATGTTAAGTAACCTTTTTTGTAGAGCATTAAATTTCCTTTGAAAATGTGTATTGTCCTTTTTCAGATATTAATTTGTTCGTTATTTACAAAATTCCAAAGTTAAAAAGTCAAATCGAATAAACATCGATTTTCAAGGCTTGATTACGTGGAAACGGCTCGTCTGCCGAAAAATTCAGACCTTTTTTGTGGGCATTCAATTTTATTCAAAAATATATGTCGATAATTTTTTTTACCTCGATGGTTTGACAGTTTTAACGCAAAAATTGAATCAGGAATAGAAAATCGAAACTAGCGATGATAGACCTCTTAAAACTAATATTAACGACTCAAACTCTCACGATATTTTTTTCGTCATTCTGAATGATATTCTCAATATATCTTTCAAAAAAAAAATAGGCAATTTTTTTGGCCCAGTATAGCAACCAATCTGTCACCATAAAATTCCTGAAGATAGTTTCTGCTGCAGTATGTACTGTAGCTCCATCTTGTTGAAAATACCCATGCTGCAGTTTATAGCAATGTATTAATTCCCGGGCTTGTTGCATTAGTCTTTTCAATAAAATTGTGCGGATTTTCTGAAGCCCAATTCCGCTTTATGTTAAAAAATTTACAATTTCAAACTACATATATTAAGTTTATCGCGGTAGCTATTTGAACAGATAACTGCGAAACAGGTTTCTTGGGACTTCACACCATTTGTTCTAGAGTATCTTCAACAACAAATGGTTCTGTTAAAGCAGTAGGTCTGCCTGTCGACTTGCCCTTGCGAATGCAATGTTTTTCCTCATATCTTTTGATAAGGCTTAATTTGTAGTTTTTAAACAAACCGTATACGATAGCAGCATTGTTCCATACAGGATTGCACAGAGTAACACCAAGTTCCATATGCATTCCATATACCACTACGAAAAGCTATTTGTTCCGGTGTAATCGTCATTTTTACACAAATCTACAAGAAATAAGAAAGTAACAAATGAAACATAACCTTAAAACATTCGTTTAACTTACCTTAAAACGTCGAATTTTCGGAGTTCTGAAAAGAACATTTTTTTTTTTCAACTCAACAGACAGATAAAGAGGCGGGCTTCATTAAAACCGTGGTTTTACTGAGTGTAGGTCTTACCTTTTTTTTTGTAGCGGAAGATGATGTTTTACCGAAACATTGCGGTCGTCAGGAAGACCTGCTTCTCCACGACAGAATAATAGGCGGTAGAAGAGCTTCTATAGGAGAATATCCTTGGATGGCTCTTCTGTTGTACAGAAATAAGTATGGTCAAAATGTTCTTGGATGCTCTGGTTTTTTGATACATACCAAATACGTCGTCACAGCAGCCCATTGTACACATGCCAATGTTATTAAGCAAAAAGGACCGATGTAGGTATAAACATTCCAACTTAATTTTTTTTAAAAGCACAATACTATTGACTGGAGACAGCTGCACAAAAATACAGAAAAACCAGTCACAATACAGTGGCGGCTCGTCGTATGAAGCAACTCAGGCCGGACCTCACTGTAAAATTTGGCTCTCACAACATATATTTTAATATTTACTATTCTACTATTTACCTAAATAAACAGTTAGGTAAACTAATTTCCAATTGCCTATTACATTTATCAAAAATCGAAATAACAGTATAAAATAATAATTGTTTGAATATTGAACATATCGCCGCTAGCTGTTTCCATCAACGCGGCATTGAATACTGTTACTAGTCCCCACCACAGTGCGGCTAGAAATTCTTTGCTTGTAGGCGCGTCACACATGCCTACAATATGCTACAGTTCCCCCTCCACGCGAGGTGGTTAAAATAACGTGATTTAGGAGGGAACTGAGGCCGGCTCAAAGCTGCTTATAGCTTTAGTGTTTCAGTTCGCGGTTAATGTACGCGTTGCATAGTACGCGGGTAGTGTCTAATGTCAGTGTGAGGGATTGTACAAAGGCTTTAAGGATAAGGACAAGGCAGGTATTAATTTAAAGTAAATAAAAAACAACTTCCTTACAACAAAACATAGTAAGACTAAATTTAACGTAATTTAATAGATACTTAAATTATCTAATACCTACATAGGTAGCAAATAATTGTCCACAATATTGTCTTATCCTTTGAAATACTTTTTAAAGACGTAATGATGTAAATTACTGCTCTAAAGAAATTAAAATCACTAGTCAAAGAATTTCTGATTTAAGAAACGAAGAAAAATTTTAAAATATTTTGAATTATGCGAAAAATATTACTGGACAACCAAGTAAACGAGGCAAAAGTTGCGACGAATTAGAAATATTTCCCCTTAGTTAAGTACCTACTCGTTTTGGGAATTTACATAATTTAAATTTTCTTGCTTTAATAGATTCCTTCAAATTTCCCGAATATGCAAACAAATATCCTGAAAAATCGTTTGAATGTTTGTTACAAATATATCCAAATGTTTTTGAAATAGATAGATTGAAAATCGAACTTAATATTTTATACAGAGATGAACAATTTCGTAATTTAGAAGAAACGATAGAAATATTATACAAGGAATTTAAAATGTTATTTTTGGAAACATACAAATTGTTTTTTGCGAATTTAAATGACGGACAAATAAACCTGTTTTATAAACATATTCACTATGTTTTTAAAAGTGGAGGCAAATGAAAAGCCGGCGGCATTGTTTTATATGTAAATAGATAAGTTGGTTGGCTATCATATGAAAATTTGTTTTTATATTTTTTCATATATTTTAATATTCATAAACCAAGTTCCTAAAGTTTTGTTAATTATTAGGTAAATATATCCTACATAGTTTTTTTTCTGTTACTTAATTTTATTGTAAATGCAATTTTTAAAGTTCTGATATTATTATTAATAATATAATTTTTTAATTTACGGTTATAGTAGGGCTNTTTCTGTTACTTAATTTTATTGTAAATGCAATTTTTAAAGTTCTGATATTATTATTAATAATATAATAATATAATTTTTTAATTTACAGTTACAGTAGGGCTATTGGCGAAAATCTCCACAATAAAAAATGACGTGGAAATTTATTCCTATTTATTATTTGAGAGCGGATTAATAAAATATCCAAATAGTCGCGTATTTTTTTTATAAAATCTGAATTAAAATCCTGCTCGTGAAAATCAGTTTTTCTATAATATTGGAAATGCAACTAAAAATTTCCAGATGCATTTAGTTGTTTGACCTTGAAAATTAAAAAAAAAAATCTCTGTCGCCCACCTACTAAAAAAGTCACGGGCCTCACCTATTCACAATGTCACGAGCCGCCACTGTCACAATATATACATGATATCCCCGTTTTGTTACGTAATATTTTCTAAAGAATTTTGCATAGCACAATCATTTTACATAAACATGGTTTTTCCTGAAGTTTGTTGCTGTTTACGATTAGATAAATGTAAATATTTCATGTTTCGTATCATTAGAAATTTCTTAAGATTTTTTGTGAACTGCTTCGAAAACTAATTATTAATGTGCTAATGTTAAATGTACGGATTGTTACGATTACAAAGGAGATTTACAACTTGTAAACGACGAATATAAATGACAAGGAAACGACTTGTATAGATTTTGCATAGCAGTAATTTTTTTCATGAAAAAGGGGTTTACAACACAGTTCCACGCCACTGGTTACCTATAATACAACTACAATTAAACCAGTTGAGAGTACTTTAATCATGTATACGCGGGTACCGATTTTATATAAATTCCGTTACGGTTTCCAGAGATACATACAAGCTCTTAATTTAATTAAATAAGCCTTTAAATCGAAATGTTGGTCACCTTGCCTGAATTTTTGATATGAGTTAGTTTGAGGTATGTTATAACAATAAGTGACAGTAATTTTTTGTTCAACCCCCGACCAAAGGTGAAAGAAGATAAAACAGAGGGGTTTTTCAATATAACTCAAAAGGGGCAAGAGCTAGAAGAAAAAGTACAAAAGTTGTAAAGCATACAATTCTACATAAAAATGAAACAACGGAGCTAGGGAGGCTAGAAGTTAAGGGAAGATTTCAGAAATTTAAAAAATCATAAGCAGAAAAATGAATTAATTTTGTAATTTTTTTTTTCGATCTACTCTAAAAAATTTAACCTTTCTTTTCAGAGAAATAGATATATTTTTTAATTTTTAATGAGAAAATTATAACAATTTCAAATTTGTTGTTCACCCCCGCTAAACAGAGGTTTTAACGAAAACGTCGAAACAGGTCAATTTAATTTTGTCAATTTGTTTACATAAAACATATTTTTAATTCTTTTTGAGTAAATACGATTTTTTTATAAATAAAAAATATAGTTTTTCTGAAATAAAAAATAAGGGTAGCAACCCCCAAACACGGAATCACTTGCGAAATATTTGTTTTTTGTTATAAGTAATTTTCATTCTGTTTCATTTCAAAATATTGATTAGAACCCCAGAAATTTTGAAAAAAATTGTTTTGGAGGGCGAACTTTGAGGGTGTATTTCACCCCGTAAATATGTTTTTTCCGCCAAAAAAAAAAAAATACGTGTCTCTTTACATTTTTTAGAGTAGATTGAAAAAAAATCAATATACCATTTTTATGCTTTACAACTTTTATAAGAAACTTTTTTTTCTAGCCCTTGCCCCTCTTGAGTTACCTTGAAAAACTCCTTTGTTTTATCTTTTTTCACCCTTGGCCGGAGGTTGAACAAAAAATTACTGTCACTTATTGTTATAACATACCTCAAACTAACTCTTATCAAAAATTCAGGCAAGTTAACCAAAATTTCGATTTAAAGGCTTATTTAATTGAACTATCTATGACAAAGTTTGTCATAGAGATTGTAGAACCCCCGGTATAACCGAAAACGTTTATTTTTTTCTAAATTTGAATGGAATATATCTTTGTAAAGTTTTCTAAAACAACAAGTTGTAGAACAAATTGTATTTATTTTACAATAACAAATAAATCAATCTTACAGTTGCTGTAATTAATCACCTTCTGTAGGTACGCACTTGTCTTAAATAATGTATTCCTTTGAATATTTTATGGCTTAGATTTTAAAATTTACCATAGTATCTAATTATAATTGTTTTGATTAATCGTATATCGGTTTTCAGAGTTTCGGTTTTGCTAGGAGAACACGATATTAAAACGAGAACAGATTGTTCAGGAACAGTCTGCGTCAAAAACATTCAAAATATTAGGATCGACAAAATGAGCACACATCCTGAATATAATCCAACTGATATATCGCAATATAATGATATAGCCATTATACAATTAAAGGAAAACGCCCTTTTGACAGGTAGGTTTGGTGTAAGTGTTCACAAGAATCACAGGACAACGGCATATTTAAATTTTTCAGTCTGGGACATCAGATTAGTCGTAAATAATAATTAATGCTTTTGAAAAAAAAAAATACTTAAAAGTTATAAAAATATTATTTTCTCTATAGTTTTTCACAGTTATGGTAATAATATGCCGTATTTGATTCTGATTATATGTCGCTGAAATATTTTTTTCAGACTATGTCCAACCCATTTGTCTGGTAGATGACGACAATGAAACTCCTGTTAGTTATTTCTTAAGTGGATGGGGTAGAACTGAAAACAGTACGTAAAATTTAAATTGGTTTCATATTTTATCTAAGATCTTGCCAAAAGTAACAGTTCTGTTCCAAAAAATGAAATAATTGACCGAAGGGTAAGAAACAATGTTAATAGGGTAAATCTAGGAGAGATGACGCACATTTTTTAAAATAATTATAAAACATATGTGTAATTGAAAATAAAAAGCAAAACTACAGATTGCGTCAAAAGAGCTTACTAAGTTATAATATATGACTTGAAATATGACGAAATGTCGGAGATTTTGGTAAAAACTAAAATTTTTTTTTCTTATGACTGCGTCATCTCACCTTAGGTATCGAGGAGAGATAACGCAGTATGTTAAATGATCGCACATTTTTATTTTTTTCATAAATTTGTATTAAAACTTCATATAATTTACTTTTGGTTTATTTATTTATTAATAATCATTATTGTAGTTAGACAAATAAGCATATACTCTGAACGAAAACGTAATTGTTTTCGTATTGTTCTTTATTTCTTCTTAAAGAAAAATCTAACCATGGATACATAGCCTGCCTTGCGAGATTTTCTGTTGTATGGTAATTCTAGTTTTTCTGCTAACTCAAAAGCCATAAAGCGCATAAAGGATCTCGTAAGTACAAATCCATGTGTTTTCAACTTTTACTTTACTAATTTATCCTATTGTGGGCTCCTAGTGTACTTGAAGGTCCAAACGGTTTAGTTTGAGGTCTTCACATTTCCTTCGGCGTCGCAAAGTGCTACCGAATTCGCGACCTGTCTCAGGAATACCCATCTCATCTCTATCGATAGCCCTTATTGCTCTAGACAACTGTTCTATTGTCCCCTCTCCTCTTTTAACGTTTCCATTTCTTTTCAATTTCGTCGGTATGCTATAAACGATAAATTAATAACATTTCTGACAAAATAAAATTTTAAACGATGTGTCTATTATTGCGCCAACTCTTCTTATGCATACGTGCGTCAACTCACCTTACAGTATAAGGTGAGTTGACGCAACAATTTTTAACTAAATTCACTAGAGGAAATGTGTGAAATTGAGGTTAGAACTACTTAACTACTCATTATCTACAACAGAATCCTTGAAAATTTAATAAAACTATAACTTAACTTACCTGTATATTTTCTGACTCTAAACGATGTAAAAATATTTAGTGTAACCTCAATAAATTTAACAAAATACCGTCACTAACACTACGTATTTGATACGTATATATATGTGACGACATAATAAGAATTACCGGTGTTGCCAAATATACGCTATGAACAATGATTGTGCCAGAACGAGCAGTGCGTCATCTCACCTGATGCGTCATCTCTCCTAGATTTACCTTACAGCTAGACTGTTACAGTATTTCGAACAAAATCCACGAAATTATATACGGCGAACTATCCGGGAACTGAATTTGGATAAATCAGCCGTTCAACGAATTTTAAAGACCAATAGGTATCATGATTACAAAATTCACAATTTGGAGTATTTGCCTGGGCGTCACATTGAAAACAGACTTAATTTTATAGCTCAAATTGTAGTAAATATAGAAACTGTTGATCAGAATCTTTTTCGGCACGTTCTTTGGACGGACGAAAGTCGGTTGGTCAGTAATGGTTTGCCAAACAGGCGCACCGAACACTACTGGTCCATTGAAAATCCCCACATTGTAAATCCAGTCCAAAACCGAAGCCATTTTGGAGTAAATGTATAGTGCGGCAACATCGGTAGGCTTTTAATCGTTCCTTATTTTTATGAACATACATTGAACAACGTGATTTACCTAAATTTCCTACAAGAAGGACTTCCTGCACTTCTGGAGAATGTGCTTTTGCAGCTAAGGAGAAACCTATGGTTTCAACACGATGGGGCTCCACCCCACAAGGCCAGGATTGTGGAGCAATATTCGGATAACACTTTCCCAGAAAAATGGATTAGGCTTGATGGACCTATTCAGTGGCCCGGAAAGTCACCAAATCTAACACCTCTCGATTTTTTTATGGGGGTTTAAAAAAATAGGGTTTACAAAACAGCTTCGAGAGATATTAGTCATTTGAAAGAAAAAATCACAAACGATTGTAATGAGTTGAACGGCGAAATTTAATAAACGCAGCTCACAAAGAATTCAGGTGAAGACTGGATATGTGTCTTGAAACGAGATGAGGTCATATAGAGAATAGATTGTAATATGTATGTAGTATGAAAGCGTTTGCCTCATTTTTTAAGTTTAGTCATTTTATCATCACCTTTTATTTTAACTGTATTAAAGAATTATCGAGTTCAATCCTTTTATTTATTCTTAATGACATTTATGCACTTTAACCAATGAACATTCAATTGTTTTCCAGCGACTCACCATGGTACGAAATGCCTAAAAGCTGGCCAAAAATGAGAAAAAAAAGTTCCTATTTGGAATTTTTTAAGTATCAGGTTGGCAATAGGGATAGTTGGGCTATTCAAATTGACCGGTGGAAACAGTTTGCCGTTTATACTGGAGTATAAATTATTCATAATAAATTATTCATTTTCCACTTATTTTCATTATTGTTTATGACAAATAATGCTTACATTTATTACGAAAGCCATTCAAAAGTGAACTTAAAAGTTATATATAAGGCACTATAAGACTAAATTACTTATTGACCCGTAATCTATGATCCATTTACTGTAATATTATGAAAAAAACATCTGCGCTTAGCTGCGCTTTCAATTTTACAATATGAATAAAGCATAAGTTTCAATAAATCGTAATTCAATTACATATTTCGTTAATGTCGAACAAAAAGTGAAAAGAGTAAACTTATTATAAAATAAGTAAAAATAATGTTTGGAAAAATACATATAAGTAGAATAGTAAAGGGCAATAAGTAAATAAAGAGAAAGAAAACCCGAGTATGACATAGAAATGGATAGTCGATGCGATTTTGTCAATTCACAGCCCCACAGAAAAAAAATATTTGAAAGACAAGACCCTGATATCTATATGTTTTTGGGGTCGCTGAATCCGAAACCGGTGTCTGTTTGATCCGATCGGGTCTGCGTTAAGGTCAATTCAAGGTTAAATGTAGAGAATCATTTACCAACAAAGTAAACCTCCACATCTATACCTACGCTTTTCGGGACGGTTTATCCGAATCCGGTGTCCGTTTGATCCGATCAAGTCTGCGTTAAGGTCAATTCAAGGTCAAATGTAGAGAATCAATTGTCAACAAAATAAACCAATGTATCTATACGTTTTTGAGGTCGCTTAATCCGAATCTGAGGTCCATTTGACCTGATCAGATCTGCTAAGTTCCAAACTCAAAACACTCAAGTATTCATTTATGCGTATTAAAATTTGAGTAACAAATAATATTTAAAAAAGAAAGCTTTAACTCTGAGCCCCTGACTTTCAACGATATTCAACAGTATAACATGATCAAATGGCGAATTTTTAAGAATTGTAATTTGTCCGCTTTACAGTAAATTGAATTTTCGCATAATCAGTGCGGTCAAAAACCCCAATATCCAATCCCATTCAAAAATAAAAAAAAAACAATATCCTTCCGTTAGTTTATTCCATTTTTGTCAAATTTCGTCCGCCATATTGGATCCGAAATTTAAAATTTTTCAATTTCAATATGAAATTTGCAATCAGTGTTGTCAAAAAAATCAGTGTTGTCCGAAACACCTATTTTTGTCAGTTTATTCGACTTTTTTTAAAACCTCATCCCATTTAACACCACGTGACCCAAATTTTATTTAAATTTTTTGTATTCTCACAGTAGGCTCATACACTATTAACTGTCAATAAGAATTCTCATTAGTACCCATGATGACAGGCTGTTAGTGATTACTCAAAATTTTTAATAAGTGTATTAGTTCTAGCTGTACAAATTGAAAATAATTCTAACGCTACTTAATCTACAAAAAAAAAAAAATCCTAATTGAAGACTTGCATAGAAATCCTTGATTTGCAAAGATACTGCTCTTCATTCTAATCGCAGGGATAATCCCTTAAGTCGAAAATTTGTACAGGAGAGGAGCGGCATATTAATATTTAGTATGACCTATTCACTGCTTAATAACTAGTCCAGTCGACAGAGGTCAAAAAGTTACTGTTGGTGACATTTCCTTGATAACTCGGAAATAACTACACAGGAATACTTTAAATGATGAGTACAATAACATGCTAATTTGCTGACAAAGTATTTTATCAGGAAAAAAGTTATTAACAATTTAATAGTGAACAAAAATTTTTTTAGTAGTTTTAAATAACTCAGCGGGATGACTTTGTACGAAAAAATGCTTAGGACATGATTTTGTTGGTAATAAAAATAGCTACAAAATGGCGGTGATCCGATTACGAAATTCGTAATAACAAAGCCGTGAGATTGAAACAACGGTATAAAACGTAAAATTTTTAAAGTTGTTATAAAAATGTCAATTATAAACAAAAAGTGATCAAACTTTAGAAAACTATAGTTCAATATACATACAATAATGACGCTAAAGCCGAAAATCAGGAGAGCAAAACTTTTTGTTCTATAAGGTTTTATACACCCATCGGCATCTGAAACGCGAAACTTTGCCAAATTTGTTTGAAGTTTTTCCGACACTTGAAATTTGGTATACACATAATGTAAATATGCTGAAACCAAAAGCAACTTGCAAAATTCAATTATCTTCATTTTTGCAGCTTTGGTAAGGTTTTATACGTCACCCTAGTTTTATACGTCATGGTTTTTTTTTAATTTTTGGAAAAATATATATGTATATTTATAAAATATTACATCACGGTAGATTAACCAGCACAATTACCTACAATTAAAAAATAATAATTTTCATCGTTTAGATCCTAAGCTAGTTAACATTTTGCGCCTGTTAGCCGTACTCGTACATTATTCAACATAACGTAAAACAAAATCGTACGTGTGGGGTAAACCTTTATCTTTTCATTATCGAGCGCGAGTTCCGCTCTTCGGCGCTTGTATACTATTAAAAACATGCAACAGTAAATTTAAACAATTGTTTACTTAAAGTTAAAGGCTTACCCCCACACGTACGTTTTTGTTTTATGTTGATATGTTGAATAATGTACGAGTATGGCTAACAGGCGCAAAATGTTAAGTAGTTTAGGATCTAAACGATGAAAATAGTTTTGTTTTTAAATTGTAGGTAATTGTGCTGGCTAATCCACCGTAATGGAATATTTTATAAATATACATAAATATACGTCCAAAAATTAAAAAAACGGTGACGTATAAAACTAGGGTGACGTATAAAACCTTACTAAAACTGCAAAAATGAAAATACTTGAATTTTGCAAATTACTTTGGTGCATATTTACACTATGTGTGTACCAAATTTCAAGTGTCAGCAAAGCTTCGAACAAATTTGGCAAAGTTTCGATTTTCAGATGCCGATGAATATATAACACCTTATAGAACAAAAAGTTTTGCTCTCCTGATTTTCGGCTTTAGCGTCATTATTGTATATATATTGAACTATAGTTTTCGAAAGTTTTATCACTTTTTGTTTATAATT